TGCCCCAGCAGAGGTGATGACACCCGAACTGGCAGAAGCACGGAAGTAATCATACCCGACCTGACAGAAGCCTAGGAGTGAGTGCGCGAGGTAGTTATAAATGGCTCTCTACCCCCCAAGAACATGGTATGCAAACTTTGCGCTATCTGGTTTTATCTTGCTTTTGAAGGATTCTAACCGGAGCTTCGGAGCCTTTACATCGGGTTCCCCCCGGAGCTTCCTCATCTTCTCCGTTTCAGGTTCCCTGCTACTCAGTTCAGAGGCAAGGTCGTTGACAGATAAGACCGGCCAGATTGCGCATCATCAGATAATATAAGTCAAAATATAACACTTCCACTAGCTTCAGGGTCGTGTTTCACTATGGGAATAGGCTCAGTTGCAGGCTTGCAGCTCAACGACAAGATGGCAGCGGTGATGGAGCCCGGTTGTAGGGTCGTCTTTAACTACGGCATGCAGCTTAGTTGCAGGGTTTCAACGGCAAGATGGCAACGACAATAGAGCTCGGGTTGTAGGGTCGTCTTTTACTCCGGGACCTAGCTCAGTTGACAAGTTTCAATGGCAAGACGGCAATGACAATGGAGCTTGGTTTGCAAGGTCGTCTTTTACTCTGGGACTCCGCTCAATTTACAAGTTTCAACGGCAAGAAGGAAGCAGCAATGGAGCTCGATTTGCAGGGTCATCTTTTACTCCGAGACCAGCTCAGTTGACAAGTTTCAATAGCGGCGGTGGAGCTCGGGTTATAGGGTCGTCTTTTACTCTGGGGCCCAACTCAGTTGACAAGTTTCAATGGCAAGACGGCAGATGGTTGCGGGGTTTTTATGGCAAGATGGCGGTGGTGAAGGGGTTTCTCATGCTATTGAAGTATTGATGTCGGTGAGGGTGATGGGGTGGTGGGGAGGGAGGGGAAGAGAATAGGAGGGAGGGAAAGAGAGCAGATCACAGTGGAGATGATATTTGACTTCACATAATTGTTTTTCATAACTTTTGGCATCCATCTTGCCGTTAGAGGGTTTTTCTTCTGCCAGTTTCAAATTCGGGCGGTAATGGCGACGTGTTCCAATTAGATTGGCCGGGTCTGTCCCTAGGGACAGATGATGCGAGATCCGCTAGATAGTGCTTAGCTGAGCGCCGTCAGATTTGAAATTTGAAATTCTCTTCTGAGAGTAGTACACGGTGAAGTGTAGAACCAATGAACCATCACGAATTTTTAGAATGGATAAATCATACAAATACAAGTCCTTCGATGAGGCAACACTCACGGTCATTAGTCATGGTCTCATGGATGAAGTAACAAATAGCAAAAGGGACTACTGAAAATGTGAAGGTTGATGCATATGATTCTCCGGCTTGGCAAGACTTACAATACTGGAATTTGGTATTGAGATTTGATAATTATTTTCAACCGCTTATATGGCTGTCTTGAAGCTCCCTTTAATGGCTTAAAGCCTTAAACCCTACTGAACAGGGCCTCCACGATTGCAATTGTCATAATGAAGAAACATCCAATAACAGCGTAATTGCTTGTATTGGGTTAATGCTGCTTCAAAGCTACTTCAGACATGAACTGTTTTTCGGTTGCATGTTTTCTGATCCAATGCATTGAAATATCTACTACATGTATGCTCAAGTCAGCACTCTTAACATCTCACATTTATCTATGTATTAAAATGAAAATTTTGCTACAACAAAATGAGCTTTTCTACAATGTCTATCAAAATTGTTCATTACGAGACCATGAACTACCTAGGGAAATTTACTGGCACTTCCAAGCTATCCACTAGAATGGCGAGATGTATATCTTTATTCTCAAACTTTTTGATGAACGGATGATTCTGTAAGCACAAGCAAATTCAGCAGTTGAGCAGAATTTAAAACGTTAAGAATGCCAAACAAATAAACACTAACCAGAAGATCCAACGATGACATTCTGTCTCTAGGGTCCTTTTGTATGCTGCAAATACATTCAACAACTCAAATTAGTCAACCAAAACACAATCCCATCATAGGATAATCTAAGGGCCATTGTAAATCTCAGGCTGACAAGCATGAGAAAATGGGTTTGAATCTAAGAGCAGCCCCTTTATGCTAAAAAAATGCCAAAGGCCAGGTATGTATCCTCTCCACCCTCCCAGGACCCCAGATAGCAGGGACCAACATTAGATAATGGCTTTATCAAAGAACCATAATGGAGAGCAGTATCTCAATGGAGATTGTCAACATCCATGATAATGCCATAAAAGTCTGGCATGAAACAAACTTAAAATCTCATTGCTTCAATGCTTCGTTTGTTTCTAAGTAGATCAGTTGCAGAAATGTTAATACCCATTTGGGAGGGGGCTTTCATGCAGCGGAATTATGGTGTTGCAAAAAGGACATGGGTAGTAGTAGTAAGAAATGATCTAAGCACTAATAATTTAACGGTGGATATGGCTATAGAACGGATTGGCAAAACAAGATTCATGTAGCCAACCCCATATAGTTGGGATAAGGCATGGATGATGATGATGATGATAGCCTATATTTAAACATGCTCTCAGGGTAAAGGGGGAGATATAATAGCCTATATTTAAACATTAAACTATCTACATTCTAGTATTGTGATAGGAGTTCAGAGGAGTAAATTTCATCTTGAGAGGATAGCAACTAGAACAGCCCCCAAAAGGGTAGACTCAATTTATTAATGAATTCTCCACTGGAAACACAGGATTTATTGAAGGTGCTTTTAGGAGCCATTCAGGGGAAGCGATTGCTGCTTATTTGGATCCTTCCGGGGAGGCTACTGCCATAAAGGCCAAGATCATATCACTTCTTCAGGGCCTGCATATTGGCTTCTCTCTTGGTCTAGAAGGACTAAAGGTTGCAGGGACTGAAGGTTGGCTTCTTTAGTTTCACATGTTCCTCCTTTTTTGTCATACGGTCTTCCTCTTTCATTTCTGAGCAGGAAAGTTGTCGTATTCTCTGCTTTGATTTTTCATGCCACGAACAAAGGATTTACACTAATTACTGATAAAAATTATTGATACTGGGATAATACAATGATAATGTAACTTGACAGTAAACAAAAGCAACTGAGGCAGGATTTGATAGAAACAGACAGATATATGCTAACGAACATAAAGTAGCAACATAAATGACCACCTTAAACATGCGGGCACAAAAAAAGTTGACTTTAAAACTCCAGAGATGGACAAGATAAAATAATCCAAATATCTATGAGGCGAACCATTCTAGTTGCTACATAAGACAAAGGATCCATACCAGGCTGATATAAATGAACAGAACTCTGGGGAAAATTGATCTGGTGGAGCTGAAGGTGGTGATTTTACAACGATAGTCTCCAGAAGCTCGTAAAAGTTTGGCCAACCCTGCTGTTCTTCAGATTGTTTGTAAGGAAAGCGTCCTATCGCACACTCAAGTACAACCATGCCCAAACTCCAAATATCGCTACTATAGTCATAAGTACTTCCAGTTATACGTTCAGGCTGAAGGACAATAGAAATGCTTTAGTCTTAATACTTCAACTTATGCAAAATCACATGGAATTTGTCTTGCCTAATTGTTCAATGATGACAGGACAAAAAAAATATAGATAACAGAAGTTAAGCCAGTTACTCCAAAGAGTAAGTGTGAAAACTGCAGAATAACAGTTAAACTTACCGACATATAGTTGTAGGTTCCAACAAATGTATCCCGCTGACCAATGGAGCTTGCAAGCATGACACTCACCCCAAAATCTGTTATCTTCACTTCCCCTTTGTGGTTTACCAACAAGTTGGATGGCTTTATGTCCCTATGAATTACATGCCTCTCATTGTGCAAATATACAAGGCCTTGAAGAACCTGAAATATGAAAATAAAAGACATTAGACCACTCATTGTTGCAGAAAATCCAGTCTCATGATAAAATGTGCAAATCCTTTAATAATACAATGACCTGCTTACAAACGACTGCAAGATATGGCTCAAGAATCGTTTTCACTTGCTTAATAACATCTGCTAGTGATCCACGGTCCATGTATTCTAAGACAAGTGAAATAACCCCGTTGTGGTAGAAAGAATGGTGGCAAACTACTATATGTGGGCACTGCAATGCCTGGTTTATTTTCAGCTCCTGTACAATTTGTTTGCGGGCATCCTCTTGAATATTCATCTGGATGACCTGCAAAAAACATTGACCTATTAATTTGAAAGATGCCCCTTTACTGGAGAATAGATTCAGCAGAGCTCTTCTACATAGTTGAGCATATCAAAAGGGTGGGGAAATTATTAGCAATAAGAAGGTATTAAAAAAACAAATAGAAAAAAAAGGTTCCCCTTCCCCCTAATTTACTCAAAGTGTCAGATACTCATCAAACTAGTCAAAGAATTAGGAGTCTTAGGCTTTCAAATTTTCAAAACATCAAAAGATGTTTTTATTTTAGTAATATTTTGTATCTATATCATATGCTTTATGGCATACTCCTGGCCTTTAATTGTGTGTGTGTGTGTGTGTGTGTGCATCATTATCTTTAAATTAGCACTCTGGTTTTGGTTGAATGGTCATCACCCAGGCACCAACTAATTGTCCATCTATCTTGAGTTCTTGACTAAACTGATTCACTTAGAGAGATTTATAAGGTCAATGTAATTAACAAAATAAGAAGTGAAGAACAACAACTCAAAAGGGAAATCCATATATTGATTAATACCATATCCTTACTATGGCAATTTAATCCTAAGAGTCATTTGTGGGTGTTCTGCAGGGAATTCCCCACCCCCAACCCTAATCCCAAAAAGAGACCCAAAAATATCTTAGAACATTAATTATTCCACTAAAATATCTTATTCATTTACATTGATCTTTCTCCAGCATAACCACAATGAGAACAGAGACAAAGAAATGTTTAATCCATTAATATGTATCCTTAATTTACTTTTTGGCCAAAATGGTGCTGAGTGCATGGAAGGCCCCCACAATAGTGAATAAAATAAAATAAAATAAAACAAAGAACAAAGACAAAAAGAATGAAACCATGATGTTTCACGTTTAAGATTTGTCAACCCACAGCTGATTGTGTGTGCATCTTCTAACAAATACAAGCGTTTAACTAAAAGGTCTACTTCATAAATCATATCTTCTCATTTATTCCAAAGCCCACATGATACAAAATTTAGTAAAAGTTTAAGTGATAAAAATGATAAATCCCTCAAAATCAGTTCACAAAATCAAATAGCAATTGGAAAAGAAAGTTAGAGATTCCAATATAATGACCTTTAAGGCAAATAATCTTCCAACCCATTTATGGCGAACAAGTTGAACAACACCACCACTTCCTTTTCCTATGACTTTGATAGTCTCAAGGTCTTCCAATGAGATTTGGAAATCAAGTTCTTTGGCATCAGAGGACTGTCAACAAGAAAGTAACGAAACATCTCATGAGAAAATAAGATAAACATAAAGAACTATAAAGAAAATGACAGAATAATATTTTCTATGTCATGCCAAATGCCCAAGTCACCTTCTTTGTTTGCAAGTTACTTATTCCAATGGCAAGTGACTATTGGAGAAGGTTCAGATTTAAAGTTAAAGAATTTCAATGATATCATATTAACTTGACAACCACATGTTTACCAAAAAAAAAATAATAAAGAGAGACAGAAAGGGAAAAAAGAACAACTGACAAGAACATTGATATCTGTACATAAAGACAGTTTCGTCAATTTCAAATATACTAGAAAGGCCAGCAAGTGCAAGACAGGTTGGTACATAAACAGGGGGATTAAAAAGGAAAACACACAAGCAATGTTGAACAAAGAAAAATCAAATTAAATAATCATTAATTTCAAAAGGATATGAGAGGTATTAACAAGTTTGGTTGGAACATAGGGTAGTTCCAATATAAATTTAAGCTGACTAAAAAATGTTATTAGAAGTTAGAACTGAACCAGACATAAAATTTAAAAGCTTACTGGATTACAGTTTTACAGGGTTAACTGGACATTCAATCATTCAACCTGTGAAATTTGTGAAAAAACTGGGGCATTGAAACCTCACTGGTTCACTGATTTGATTATCTGATCCGAATATCACATTACTGTTTCCACCACTTGCAAGGCACATGATACAGATATTGGCAGACGCGATCTATTTTTTATTTTTTCAAATTCACCATGAAAAATACTACCGACAAAGTTATTTCACTTCCACTAAACACTTCTAATATTTGCAGATCTTCTCCAAATTTCGTCAATCTTAACTAGACAAAATTGAATTGCATGCATTAATAGAGATGAAACGGTATGAAGAAATGGAATAAATGACAAAGATTCCATAATACATATTTCATCTTTTCAAGAAGTAGTAAAATCAATAGATGGTCACCTGTAAATGCAAATGGCAACAAGTAAAAACAATCATATGATGTATGGAATACGAATCAGAATAAACTTACACGAGTTTCCTTTTCTTCGGAGATCAGCCGCAGACCTTTCTGATTCAAAAGCAGATCGCCGTCCTGAAACGTGCCGCTTGCAGTCCTAAAAAAGTAATGACTTTAATTATCATAAATTCAAAATAAAAGCAAGGAAATTCTCGAACGAGCACTGAAAGGCATCCTTTATAGATTCTTGATCAAGCTCTTCAAGAATAATGAAGAACAACCGATCTGTTCAGTTTGATCAAATAAGCACGCAATGTGATTGAAGCAGAGCAAGAGACAGGACGGAGGGTTACAAGAAAGACGTAAAGTAAAGTGAGAGGAATGAACACAGTTACTTACAGGAAGTCGGTGATAGGAGTTTTTTCAGCAGGAACCGAGAGCTTGAGCTGCTTCAGTGGCTTGGTGCCCTTCATGATCTCTAGAGTAGGCTTCCCTAGGGATTATGATTTCTCCACTAGGGCTTCAACTCCTGTGGCAGGTAAGCACACACAAATACACGCAGAGGCAAAGAGTCCCAGAGAGATGACTGATGAGTGATGATGACTCGTGAAAGCACTAGAATTCAAATGTAGACAGACCGCGGAAACATTTCTGTCTTCCAATTTCTTTATCCTTTTTTTTTTCTGGTTTAATTTACGAGACCGTTACTCTTGCTTTTTTTCTTTTTCTGATTTAACAATCTTTACACTTTGGCGGTGACGGTGAGGACAGACAGAGGACCTCACAACTCATAACCCTTTTTTTTGGTTAAACAAGTCACAACCTCGTTAATTACTTATTTGCCCATAAAAAAGTTTAATTACTTTAGGTATAAATTACTCATTCACCGAAAAACAAAGCAATTAGTCATTCAATATAGCCACGTCAGCAGTGAAACTTCGACTGTTGAGCTGGCCAACCCAACCATCCAGATTCCTAAACCACCCGCCCAGAGCTGAGTTTGTATTTTGTATGAATCCATGAGGAGTAATCAATTTTCAATTTTTCACTAGACTAGGGATACAACTTCAACTTGGGCCGAGTTAGAACATGAAAAAAAAAAGGTCAAATGGGTTGAGTAGGTTAGGCAATTACCGCGTTATGGTTGGGATTGAAAAATACGAACCCGACTTGGCCATGAATTTCAATGGGGTATTGTCGATAAGATGCAAACCCCGATGGGGTATCTCTCAAAAATCACAATTATACTGTCAACAGTCATTCAAGGCTCAAGCAACAGAAAATTTGATTAGGTTCAGTTTGTGCTACTTCCAAACTTGGCGACAACTCAATTTCCATGGCTATGCTAATTGCTAAGAAATCATAATCGTATATAGAGATAGAGGATGCCTTCCCACCAAACTGCCGACTACTCAGGCGAATGTATTTGTAGCCAAGGGAGGCTGGGTGGTTCTCACTTCTCTGTTTGTACCTGAACTCTCTCTATGTCTCGATTTGCAAGTTTTAATGCAGAGCGATTCCATAATTATATTGTATGTGTTTGAAATTGTGGATGTTTATTGATTAAATGTTTTGTACTTGATTTGTTTGTAAAGTAAAAAAAATGCAATAATTAACCCGTTTGTTGACACTTAGGAGACATTAAGCACCACATCAGCAAAACAGTGAATAAACGTCTACATGTTGGGAGAAGCGTTAAAATGAAACTTCCCCCAATGATAGGCGTGCATATAAACTGAAATCTACTTTTGCCAATGTTCAAAATATTGATATGCTCGATATATCGGTAGGGGTGAATCAATACTATGTTTTTTTTTACTTTTTTTTTCCTGAAACCGGTTTAGGGCTCCTCCACCCCCTAAACTGGTCAAACCCCTAATACACCAACTATAGGGGTGTATCGAAGGGGTCCCGAAATGATACGTATCAGCTGATACGAGCTGATACGTGTCGATACTTTGAACCTTGACTTTTGCAAATCCCTATGCATACAAATTCACATAATGGGGGAAATGCTGAAGTGGCACCTATGTGGCAGCATTTATTTAATAAACACCCACAGTTCCAAACACCCTAATACAAGGTTAAGGTTCAAAGTATCGACACGTATCAACTGATACATATCATTCTGGGACCCCTTTGATACTCCCCTACAATGGGTGTATCGAGGGTTTGACCGGTTCAGAGAGTGGAGGAGACCTAAACCGCCCCCCTTGAACTGGTTGCAAAAAAAAAGTATAAAAATGTAGTATCGATTTGCCCGATACACCCCTACCGACGTATCGGGTGTATCAATATTTTGAAAAGGTTCAAAGTATCGATATATATCGGCCGATACGTATCATGTCGATGGCTTCCTGATATGCCCCTAAAGGGATTGTATCGGGTCAACCACTAATTCAAAGGGTATCCAGACCTTAAACCATCCCCTCTGAACTGATTTCAAAAAAAAAAATCAACCAAGTAAAACATAAAAAAAACCACCGATACAACGAACCTTGCCCTCATTATGACCCAACGGAATATGTACCCCTATTCCCCTAGAATGCACTCAAACTCAAAAACAAAAATTATCAACAGCTCTTCTTATACAAAATAAGAGGAATTCTAGTAAACAATGGGTTATTGGTCTGGAGCTCTCAAACCATGTGATTGTGAACAGAACGCTAGCCTTTAACATTTTCCTAATTAATCATACTGCAAGGAAATATAAAATATATTATGCCATGTTTAAGAGCTGAGACAATCACACTATCACATGCGCTCACAGTCTCACACTGGCCGAAGGCTCTGTTTTCATAATCTTGTCAGTCTTATACATTCACTTGATCATAATTAATATTTAGGCGTTTCGTTTTTTGGATTTTGAGAGGAGAAAAGTTGGTCAATGGAAAAAATCTCATTGTTATTTTTTCAGATTTATGTAAGGACAAGGGAAAGTTTATTTTCCTAGACATTGCTTACCCAGGTATACCCATCTACTAGGTGGGTAAATAACTTTCCCACCTAAGAGAAAAATTGTCAACACTTAAATGGAACAAAAATGTCCTTTTTAATAATGGATTTTTATGACTAAAATGGCCACTGTCTTATTTACATGAAAAATAAAAGAACATGGGTAAATGCACTTACCCGGGTAAATATTTCCCAAAAATAACTTACACAGATAACTACGTTTACCCGGGTAAATAACTTACCAAAAGGCGAACGAGACCTTAAGATCTATTTACTTCACGGGAACAGGTGTTTGGAATCGGAATCTGAATCAGAATAAGAATAAGCCAAACTGTTTGACTGGGCGGAATAGGATTTCCCATTCCCATTTCCAGCAGAGTAACATTTTCGCATTTGAGGGAATAGCCCATTCCGGCCTCCCCAAACCTTATTTTTCTTTACCCAATACCAATCATTCTTAGGAATATGCATACCTTATGAAATCTAATTCCAATTCAACAAATAAACGGAGGGAATAGGCCATTCCAATTCTGACTGTAAACTAAACCGACCCTCCGAATTCAGCTTCCCTTGGCCTTGAGCCCTTGTCCAATTTTCTGTAGGCGCCACATCTATATCCTGAGTGACCTCCAATGAGACAGGTCAGAGGTCAAAAACCCAGTTTTAGCAATATATATTATCGGTAACCTCTTACGCTTTCAATAGGTGGACCAAAGGAAACAAGGCCAAACCCCAATGGAGATGCTACGACTCTCAAAGGCTGCAGACTTGCAAGCTTAGCCAAACATGTATGTGTATGAGAGAGAGAGAGAGAGAGAGAGAGTCTGAACCAGAGAAGTGATGTTAAAAAAAAAAGTAAAGCACAACAACAATTCCTGTTTATTATACAGAGAAAACTGAAAATAAATACATTAAGATAGGAGTAGAACGGATGACTTAGATAAGCATTTTCCATATTCAGAACCAAAAGAAAACATTAGTAAGATCTGTTCATTGTGATCCAGGAACATTGTTACATCCATTCCAACCTGTTAAGCTGTTTTCTCCAACTCTGCAATGCTATTTCTCCTTGCACACTCCAAAATGGTTTTATCAGCAGTAATGAAGTAGGCAGCAATTGAAGCTGTTTACAAATAGCCAAAGAGTTAGGTATTCATATTGAAAATGAGGTTTTTGACCATCAATGGTTAATACTACAAACTTTGTTCAGACAAGGAGGGGGGACAGTTTTGAACTCCCAAATCCCAATGGTTGATGGTAAACTTTATTCAGACAAAAAGGGCGAGAGACAAAGATGCCAAGGTATCCAAGAACGAATACAAACAATTATTAACATTACCTCCAAACAAGTCCAACATGTAGGCTGACTGCTATAATTTAATGTAATTAAAAAAGTGTGCATTCATAAACAGGGAATTTTGCATCAACAGCATCTTGCCATAACAAATATGAACAAAGAAAAATTGCAACAGAAGTAAGAAGTTATTTTGAGTATATTACTTGCAAGCCATGATGTGTACTTTACTGATCTAAAAAGACCAAAAAAAATCATCAACAGAGAAAGCACCAGGGTAAGTTCAGCTTACCATTTTCAATTAATACCTTTTCTTTCTAAAGTCAAAGGACATTTAGTTTTGAAGGGTGGGAGATTGGCCCCTATCCAGGTTGGGTACTTAGGTTGGTCTAGTGTACCTCCAAGTTTTGAATGATAGTGATGATGATGATGATGATGATAATAATAATAATAATAAAGAAAACAAACAAAAACTTTTGAGTGCTAAAAACTAATGCCACACACACACGAGCATCAGGTGACAATTTCTTCCTAAACCACATATAATATAACACCAAGAAAGTGACTTCCAGAAAAGCACTTCCTAGTTTATAATCATGGCATGATAATCAAAATGACAAAGAAAGATAATGAATACATGCAAATTACATATTTGGGTCTCCACAAGAAGCTTCTGCATAATCAGCCGGGATCCAACATGCATCCTCTCAAGAGTATTTGGTCCCTACACATAGGATAATGAAGGGTGCTCAAGTACCTGGAAACTCTCTAATTACAAAATATCCCTCGTATTGACAACAATACACTACATGGAAGTGTCTCACATCCAAATAGGTTCTACATGGACTTCTCAACTACCACCTTGTAATGATAAAAGTATCAATATAAGCAAACTCGGTAATCAATTAGCCTCTTAAATCCAATTAGGGTTAAGAAAGATTAATAAAAGTCACCTCTAGGCTCTAGCTCTTTAAATGAAGTACTAAACACAAAAAGGCTCTACACACTCCCCACACAGAAAAAAGAAAAGGAGTCTACAATATGTTTTGTTTCTAAATGCATGATAAAGAGGCTTATGCTTAAACACTTTAGATAAGTGAACTGCCTCAACTAATAATGCTTTGTTGGTTAAAAGAAATAAAGAGGACTAGAATTTGAAAACGAGGTAGTCTTTCAAGGAATTTAAACGACTAGAATATGAAGGTGCCAAATGGCTCAATTGGTAAGGTTTCTAGCTGGTTGTAACAGAGACTTGGGATCAATACCTGCCTTCACCCAGGTTGGGGAACAGGCTACCCACCTGGTGTAAATCTAAAGAAAAAAAAATGACTAGAATACATGATACTTTCTATTGTATGGTAACTTGAATTACTTGTACCTCTGGTCATCTGATGAATTGGTTTCAAAGTACAAAAGGGATAGAGACCAATTAGCTCTAAACCTCCTGTCCAAGAACAACCTACATAATCATCTTAGTTTCTGAATTTATAGAACAGACAAAATTAACAAAGTAAACTTCTTAGTCATCTATGCATGACTCAGACTCCTCTCAAAAATCTAGCTTCTGACAAGCAAGCAACAATCAAGTTATGTCTCGTTCATGCATCTGGAATTGTAATGAAAGCACATTTTTTTATAAGTATTATGATGAAAGCACATTGAGTGTAAAGTGTAAACTCAATACATACAAATTGAGCCATGACAGTACCTGCAGATATAATAAGTGTTTGAGCAGTATAATTGAGGTTTGCCTTTGCCCAAGGGATTACACGAACCGCAACCAACTGAAAAAAAAACATTATAAACATACAAATGAGGAAGTAAGAGAATCTGTAATGAGAAAATTCCTTACTAAAGACATTAAAAAAAAGGTAATTAGCATATCTAAAAAGAACCAAATGATTCAAAAGCTATTTTCTTTGAGTGGCTTTGCAGAATCTTTAACCATGCACCCAGCAATCCATTGTGATTGGATTGTGATAAATGTCTGCTACTATATTCATCTTAAGCAATGACAAAATTCAGAGTATGTATAGAAATGTGTGCATATGCTATCTTGACTTGAACATATGCACACTCCCCAAGCCAACCAAAAATACAATCAACATTACCAGCAACCCAACAAACTAAAAGACTCACTTTGTACGAAGACCAGTAGCAGGTTAAATAAAGGGTAAAAGACTTAAACATACCCTATGTTTTTCAAATAGACTTAAATATATCCTCTATCAGTAAAAGTTGCATTACATTTGTATCTAACGCCAACTCACCCATTTAAAATTTGAAAAAACCTATTTTGTCCTTCTAATTCTTGAATTGAAGTGGATCATGTATACATTGACTGGAGACAACGCCAAGATGCCCCAACGCTGGTATACTATGTTTCCACAGCTACCATTCTTGCAGATGCTGTTGGTGGTGCCTATTGAATTGAATAGAACTATCTTGCAATGGATCACGATCGACTAAACATATTCCATATGAAATTATTCTTTGTTTAGATTTTGATCTGACATCATGGAAAAAAAGGCCTTGTTTCTTGTGAGGATGGATGCCGGACCCACTGATTCTAATTGCTGCTACTTTGAAATTTTGCCTGAAAGGCAAAACAACCATCACCCATCCATTGTTTTATTGGTTTGGAAGCAGAAATTTGAAGGCTTTTCGGTAATTTTCGCAAAAAAATTCGACATATTTTATTTTTATTATATTATGAGAATGAATCCTACTACTTCTGGTCCTGGGGTTTCCGCACTTGAAGAAAAAAACCTCGGCAGCTACCRCGGCCCCTGCTTCCTCAGGTGGAACTCCAGGTTGAGGAGTTACTCGGAATGCTGCCAAGATATCAGTATCTTTGGTTTCATATTGACTTATTAGGTTGAGAAATCAATGATGTATACTTGTATGATTCAGACGCCTTCAGAATTTTGATAGATGAGCTATTCAGATTAGAAGGCATCAGCCTTCCACCACCATAGGAATAAAAACTGGGTTTCTTTTCCGGGGGAGTTAATTACACCAAAATTACTTCTCTCTGGAATTTAGAAAGAAGGATTGCTTACACTTTGTACTTCAATGCCAACTGTAATACCAAATGAAAATTTTAATCTTATCCCTCTGAGTTCCTAGTTTTTTTCTTCCATATCATTCTCTCATGAGCTTAAAGACAAATGCTGAACACCTTTCGATTTCATATAATAATTGAGGGAAAAAAGTCTTCTTGTTGTATCTATTTAACATACCGGCAAAAAGGTATATTTAAGTCCAATCTGAAAAGTCAAGGTATGTTTAAGTCATTTTCCAAAAACTCAGGGCATGTTTAAGTCTTTTACTCTAAAATAAAAGCATGAGAGAGCACAAAACTTAGAACAATGCCAATATATCCCACATACACCAGCACCCAACATCTTTAATATGTAACCAGATAACTAATTATCTAATTCCATGAGGAGCCAACCACAAGCAGCCAAAAGGAATGGGATAAAAGAAGCCTCTGACAAAATATAAGACCCGCACATACCCTAATGAGAGAAACCAGAGGCTGACCAAAGAAGAATAAATCCAAAGACCAACCATCTCAAAACACAACAACATCAAAACAACACAAACAGAGTGAGTATCAGTTTCCACTAACAAAGTTTAGTTTACATCCACAGCAACCACCTCCCTTGTCCTGAAACAGAAGTGCTGACCAAGCAAACAATTTAAATATATTTCCCAGAGACATGCAACCGTCAAAGATATCAAGCCAATTAGTCCCATCACCTTGGACACCCACCACTTCAAGAACCTTGATCCAAGGTTCAAATATCAATACACCTCTGTGTATTGGCAGAGGTGTATCAGTAAATTAAACCATGCACTTTTAATGTTTATTTAGTTTTTTTTTTTCAAAATTTGGTATTTATATATATTTTTTATAAAAAAGGGGTTCACAAAAAAAACCTGTAAACAGGTGTTTCGGACCCCAAAAGGTACAATGCGATACACCCGATACGGGGCATATGTATTGATACTTTGAACCTTGCCTTGATCATATGATGTGGCACACCAACACCCCAAAAAGGTGGTTCTAATACCCAATGTTTTAAATGGTGTGGAAGGTGTATGCATGGAGGCACGCCTCTAGGCGAGACGCGTTAATGCCTCTCAGATGCTTTTTACAGGAGGCATACACTTCATGAATGCCTCATATGGAAAAAAGAAAGGACCAATTTTAGCTTGTCTTACTCCCCCCAGAGGAGGTCTATGCCTCTTGTGTTCTGAACCATGCTTTATGACCTTGAAATTGTAAATCCCAAGAAAAATTCCAATCAAAACCAGACATCTTGCCTTCCATAAGGAAGAAATACTATATAGGATTCGATTTTAGTATTTTTTTGTCAATATCTCTTTGTTCTATAACAAATAAGAATAGATACTCTAATTAACTTTGCCTAGTGTTTAGGATGTTAACACCTACACTTCTCCAATTCAACTTTACTTAACAATCTTTCAGGGATTTCCTAACAAATTGGAGCATTGGCTATTGTCCCTTGACATGGCCCAACTCCCCCTAATTGACCACGTCTATCCAGTGATCAACAGTAATTGCAAGAAGCTGCAAACTCCCACATATCATCCTCTACTTACCCAGTAAAACATTAGACAGATTCAAAATAAGTAATTTGAATTTCACTAAGAACATAATAACAAAAACAGTAAAAAATAATGGGTGCATGTGCATATAAATCTGGACCAATCTACCACCAAGGTTATTTGCATTACCAGCTAGTATAGCACCATGACAATGAGAGCTGTGGTCATTTGTACCTCCATAAGAAATACTTAAAAGAGTTGAGAATAGGCCAAGCCCAGCCCTCTCAACATCAGCTCACGTTTGTTTAGCTGAATATGAAAATGAAGATGGTCCAAGAGTTCCAAAATTAAGCCCAAACTCCACTTGCCTGATCAGAGCATGTGGTGCTGGTAAATTTGCAACTGTTACTTCACAATCTATGTTTTGACAAAAACCTTGGATCATGAAATGGTTTAGTATAAGCCTTTACAACAATAATGGGTGCTATTACAGAAATGGTTACAATCTGGAGACTTGGTCAACTGACCAATAGTTAGCATCTCTTTTATCAATTGTTTTCCTCATAGAGATAGAGGCCATTGAGCACCACAAAAAAACATATCGTAGGAGTACAAAAACAAGATATTCCAATCAACTGGTTTTATTTCTTTATTTATTTTGGAGGAGGCTATGATAAATGTATAATGATAGGACCACAAGATGAGAAGTTCAGTCTGCTCTTTTGTGCAACTCCTGATCCCATAAGAGAAAACAAACTTAGTCATGCCCAAGATAAACAGAACAAACTCTTTAATAACCTGACAAACATGGCATTTGTATAAGCTTGTATATCATGTCATGATTATTTTCCTTACAGAGGACCTCGTACCATCAAAACCTATGCTTTATTTGCAGGAGTACAAATTTATAAACAACATAGTATAGTTGAACCAAAAGAAATAAACTCGAGAATAAGATAAATGGAGCTAAAATTTAATAACATAATATGAGCAATAATTATTTATAACTCAAATAGCATTCCTTGAAATATAAGCCTCAGCCCCACTTATTCTTATTCTACCTCAATAATATCCTTAAATTCCTGAACAAGAAGTTTACTACAAAATATGAAAAGAATCCACATTAAATCAAAATCCTTTGTCAAAATTTGATTAAGGATCACTTGGGATCTAACCTTCTTCTTTTGCATTGTGCCTTTCTTGCAGATCCAAAACTCATCTATGATTGTTCTACGTCATTTAAAGTAACAAAAAATGCATTGCTTCCATCAACAGGACCATGAATTACAGAATGTACAATGTGAACTGTGAAACAGTGAGATTATTCAATAATTTAGATCCTTCAATATTGAATGTACCACCTTTATACATTAAAGTATATATATGCTGAAAAAGGTGGCTTCATGTGAAGCAAAATGTAGAAGCCATTGTAAATGGAATCCATGTATTAGTTACTTAGGCTGGTCTCGAAGAATCATGGTTAAGGTGCAACCAGAATTGAATAAAAGTTCCAACCCCTTTGGCACGAATGAACAACACATAACATTTCGTATAAATGTAGATGGATTCATGATCTCCAAACATAAAATATTAAGCTAAAAACACCTATGACCAAAAATCCAAGAACATTTCCAGCATAGAAGATGAAAGAAGAAAAAGGAAGACAGCAATACCGTTGGCACCGCACTGACGACACATGCAACTGCTGCTGCCTTGGCTCCGGCACGAACCCCTTCTGTAGTTCAGATGAGCACAACCAACAGGAAGTTATAAAAATATCGTGGAAAATGGAAGAAGAAGTTAAGAGATTAGAATCTATTGATAATGAAAGGGCAAGATTAGCATCTATTGATAATTCTGATTAAAAAGGAATTTTTTTATAAATACGAAATAATGAAAGAGTATCCCTTACAGGCATTCCAAACTTTCGACTAAAGAATCAATTAATGATTTATTTCAAATGAAAGAAGTTAAGAGAGGAAATAAGATGAATTTTATAGCTTCATTACAGGCATTCGAATCTTAATCAATGTATAAAGCCAAAAAATATATATAAATCAAAGTAGAAGATCAAAAATACAAACGGAAATGAAAGAAAATGAAATTTTGGGTTTAAATAATAGGTTGAATGACCTTCAGTACAACGTTTAGATCGGAGTATTTTTTGTTCTTCAGCAGGAGAAGCAATCAAAATTGATTTCCTTCTATTTATCCAGGCATCTCTCAAATCTGCCGGGATCCCCATGTTGATATTTGCTTTGTTTCTTCTATCCAAAGTGTTCAGACGAAAAGAAAATGAGAACAAAAGGTCCTAAGATCGGGGTTCAGGATCCTGCCACTTGAAGAAGAAGATCTGAGGAAGAGAATCGTGCCGGCTTTCTCTTCTCGTGCGGAAACCTCGCCTTGAGACTCGAGAGCATTTTTTAGGGAAAATTCTACATTAGTATACTGTAATTTGGGTCTAGTGTCATTTTGGTCTCCGTACATTAAAATGGTGGATAATTTACTTGTTGAACTTTTAAAATATGACAATTTAATATTTATTATTAATCAGTCGTTAATTATTATTTGAAAAGATATATAAATCCTTTAAATATCATCTAATTCTCTTTATAATTATTCAAACGTTGATAAAAAAATAAATAATTATAAATTTTTATTTCTTTTATTTAATAAAGTTGGAATCACCCAAATGTCCACGAAAACATAATCTCCATTTTTTTAAATAAAAAAGACAAATACTTGAGATAGTAATTTTTAATGTATATATGAATGATGGATATAAAAAAATTAAATGACAATCAAAATATATTTTGGTCTTTTCAAATATTACTTAATGATTAATTAACCAATTAGTTAATGACATATACTAAATTAATATATTTTAAAAATTCAAGTATCAATTATAAGTTTAAGGACTAAAGTGACATTAAACCCAAATTACATGTATTAATCGAAAATTTTCTTTTTTTAAGAAAAAAAAATTGTCGAAAGTGCGTATGGATGGAACTGTGGACTATCCATCGCGTCAAAAAAAAGGTACGTATGGATGGATGGGCCGAGAAGTCCGTCGCGTCGCGGATTGCCACGTACATTTGGATTTGGACGAGCTGGCTAATTGCCAAGCGGTCGTAACTCGCAAGTCGTAGCACGACGATAAGAGCTGTCTTTAAGCCTAAAATGCGGTAGCGGGTAGCCGGTACTCTCTTTATTATTCTACCGTGACGTCAGGATGGACGTAAGCGGTAATAAAAAAACGGAAAATTTTCGATCAATACTCTGCATTTTGGTTCGAGTGACAATTTGGTCACGAATTTTAAAACGCGATAATTTACTATCAGAAATTTCAAAACACGACAATTTAGTATATGCTTTAATTGATCGTCATGTGGCCTCGTTTGGTGTGTATTTTTGCGCGGTCTATACATCGATTTTTGGTATATTTTTGTTTGGTTGGCGTAAATGTTAAACAGTTTTGTATGCCCTTAACTTCAATCCGATTTGATTTACTTTTGATATTTAGTGTAAATAAATAAAGTACATGTTTGATTCATATTGTTTGGTATAATTCTGTGTAAGACCCTAAAACTGGACACTTATAAAGACTCATGTTAGTTTTAAATATTCACAGCCATTGGATAAGTCTGGGAGATTTATCCTGCCAAGGTTGATACTGGTGTGCCACCAAGTGTTGGGATAGTCTGTCTCGACCACCAGGGTAAGACCCAAGGCACATGTAGTATGGGATTACTCGAATCCTTGAACCGGACCAGATTTCTAGTATTGCTTTGGACCTTGGAGACAGATGGGCAAAATTGGAAAGTTACACCTGACCCCTAGACTCGATTATGACACTTCACTAGGTGGACCGGACTGTCTTTGATATGCCAATCAGTGAGATCCTTAACGATGGTCAAAACCTGGGCATGTTGGGATAGTTTGAGAATTCATCTGAATGGGTGGTCATAGTGACAGGATCAGCCCCTTTGTCGGACAAAGGTAATGATCGGGAATGCACTCTCTCTAATGGAAACCAAACTGTCGGCAATGCTTGATTATTAAGGGCTGAGAGGTTAAGTGTAAGGCCATTTAGGATAGTACCTGATGAGTTAATCTTGCACCTGCCCACAGTCCCTGGGTTTTTATAAGATGGCTTAGTCCAATGACCACTTAATGTAAATGTTGGGCCCATAGGGTCCATGCGATGGGCTCAGGGGTTCACTGAGCTTTTTAGTGAATTCGACTGGGCCTTGTAATAAAGGCTGGGCCGAACCCATGTGGTTGGTGTGTAGATCAATACTCGGGTCCCAYGCCATACAAAGAAGCCCAACTGGGCAGCAGATTGAAAACTAATTAAGTACTAAACACTTAATGGGCCAAAAGCCCATTTCGAGCTGGGCTGATATGATCACCCATCTATGGGGCGGATCTGGGATTAAAATTAGCAAAAGGATTGGGCCTTTAACCCTATCCACTCTGGGAGACCAAATTCAAATCAGATTTAAATTTAGTAACCTTCTGATAAGATCAGGAGTAAGCTAACTTAATTTGTAGATAGGATTAAGATCATCCCCTATCCAAATACTAATTAGGATTGGGATAACTCTTAATTAGGAAGTTTCTTAATCAAGAAGAAAAGAGGAGAAACCCTAAGAGATCATAATCAGATTTCGAACCTAGGGTTTTGTGCAAGAAATTATCCTACGAATTGAGATTAGATCTCATACACACTCCAGAGAGAAGAGAAGCAATTTCAGCCATATTCACTTCAGGAGTTCTCCTCCAGCCGTCACCATTTATTCTTATAATATTCGATCTTTGAAGAAGAAAGAAATCAAGAAATTGGTTCTTGACATCAGTTTTGTAGAAAAAGACTGAAAAGATTTGATGCTCTGAGTTTCCAGTGGATTCTTGCGAATGATTCAGTGTGTAGGACGCACTCTGCTGGTTCCGTTCCACATACAACTGTGTCATCTTCAGCAGGAGCGGATCTTGGTGTCCTCTTTGGGCGTGAACACCAACTTTGAGAGATACTGCTTCTCTAGATCAGGTATAATTCCTCCATTCCCTTTTGATTCAGATCTGGTTCGATTATGGTACAAGTAGAATTTTTGAATATTGTATTCTAAATTTAGGGAATACGATTCCCAGTTGAGAGAAGGTAGGAAAAATTTTTGAAATTCACCCACCCATTCCGCAATCTTTCTGACATCCATTAGATGGATCTTACCATTCTTTCAGTAAGATCTAAGATTTTGGGCTGCCACTAAATGAAGTTTTTCAAGTCTTTTGAGTTTTAATCTCACGTAGAAAAACGCATACAGATACAAGGAAAGATGTATTTGCCAAACTGTCTTCGAATTGCCTAGATCTTATATTAAAAGCTCAATGCGTCTTTTGATTACCAAAGCTACAAAAGGATCTTCTAAAAAAGATGCACCAAATAAGCCCTATTTATATGCATTTTTTTAAAATATCAAAATTATCCTTAAAAATAAAATACACATTTCTTATCTTCTTTCTCGTGAAGATGAAATAAAGCCCCAACTCTATGTCATAAACTCACTCATTGGATGGTTGGAATTGTTCCAAATCTTGTTTTTTTTTTTTATTCTAATGGGAACTGTGTCGAGTAAATCCCCATTATAGATATAGGAATTACATAATCCGATCTACTTGCGTTGATATTGAAAATTTCTTCATTCACACGGTGTAAAATAATTAGTATAGAGAGTTAGCGAAGTGGAGACATGCGAACTTCCCATCCGATTTCAATGTCTCACCTGAATCCCCATCGGATGAAGCTTCAACTGATATGGTAAAGATCAACATGGATATCAACCACCCTCCTGGAATCAAAATCACTTGTCCAGGTTCTTCAACTCATGGTTCTGGTTTATCACATTGATGGGCAACCTGTTATGATCTAGGATGTTCTGAAATTGAACAAAGCTCTTTTAGAACGTCTGCAACACCTTGTTGTCTGCTTACATACCGTTACCAATGCTTGTAAATGCATCCTCATCCATTTTCAGTCAAAATTCAATACAATTAAAACCCCTTCTTGAAAATTTGGAACATTTTCTCGAGCAAAGAAGGCAACAGGGAGCAACCAGGAATTCCAAATGAGTGGTTAAATCGAATCTCCGGAGATTGTACCCAGAGGCCCTAAAATCAGAAACAATGGAGAGAGAGGGGAGGATAGCGACTAAGAAATAGAGAAAGGTAAAATGAGTATTCCAGTACCTGTGAGCTTTAGGTAAAGCTACGGAGCTTTGGAAATTGGTAACCAGGACCAAAAATAAGACTACCTACCACCAACGCCACCAAGTCAGGGTAGCTGATGGGTGTGCAGTGAAGACCAAGGAAAATGATAGTGGCTGTTGTCGTCGCAATTACCTGCCTCTTCTTCCACTCCCATTAACTTTAACTCTGGAGCTCCTTACCACCCACTCCTTCTCACCTAACTTTTCTCTTTCTCTTTCTCTCTACATCCTTTTCTTCTCTTTGTATCTCTGATTTTTCCGACAATGGGAGTTATTTTCTCGGTGTAGTACTATGGTGTCGGTCTATACTCCCCCTCCTCTCTTTCAACAAATCATTATTCTTGTTCAGTTTGCTATTCAGTTGATTATTCTCTTAGAGGGAAAAATTAAAAGAGATGAAAATTTGACGATCTCTTCTGATTTTAGTGGATGGTTGATAAAGAAAATTATATGACATTTGAAAGGCATTTGTGTCTTTTTACATGACACTTTATGGTGGCTGGTTAATGGCATTGTTGCATTTCGAAAGTTCGGACACTGTATTGTTGCATTTTAAAATTTGGGAATCATATCGTAACTTGAGCCAAAGTATATGATACTGATCGAAAATTTTCCCTAATAAAAAACTAGACTCCGTTTGAATAAGTTTGTCTTTTTTAGCATTAAGCTTTTTTTAGAGGGAGCAAGTAGGTAAGCTCTTATTTTTGGGTTTGATTGTGGAAAATAAATATGAATTGATAAGAGTTGTTTTGGAAAATATAATAAGCGAAAAGCAAAACAATTTTATGCCCCAAAAATCACACAAAGCTTAAAATTTGGGACTTCATATCTTTGGGCTTTGAAATCACAAATGTTGAATCTTATCCATTGGTAAAATCCAATGTCTTATTTGCCGGATCTGCTCATAACAAACAATTGTCCCAACATGTTTTAACATAGTTTGTGTCCACACATCTCACCATGAGGGTGGGATCCATCATATTTGCAATGTGTGGGCATGTTGGTAAAATTTATTGTTGTGGCAGATCCCATTCTCTTATTTTCTTTAAGAACATTTTTTACCAATTAATGATGGTTCAATTGGTAAAACCATTTTTAATTGATGCAACCTGGTTTGTGGTTAAGGGGATGGGAGATAGGGCTACCCTCTATTTGTGTAGTTCCATGAAGCAAA